ACAAGAAGATCTAGTCAAACAGGCTTCAATAATATTCAATAATTCAAGTCTAAATAAAACCCTTGCATGCATCGCTTTATATAGGGAAACTAAAACCCTAAAATAAATAAATAATAACAAATAAACCCTCAAAAGTTAAAAGAAATTATTTAAAAGATAAACACTAAAAGTATGCAAATAACTCTCAAAATTAGTCTATAATCTTATCTAACTCCAACACGATCCCCATCATTTTTTCCCGATTGAGAAAAACTCTTCCCCAGAAAGTCTTCAAAGCAGAAGTACCCTAAAAGAGCAGCATAAAGATGACAGAACGTCTTATCTAAAATGAAAGGACCATCAACATCTTTCCATCGGCCTGGATAAACGCAAGAATCTTCATCTATAACAATATAAATTTGGTCACAGAGGACATCATTTATTTGTCCCGAAATACGCGATAGAAGTAGAAAAATAAGAACTAGAACTAGTGCTGAAAAAAAAGCAATTCCACCTGTAGAAACACCGGCTAACAAAATAGGAGGCTCTGGAATATCTCGATTAAGTAGCATGTTCTTCAAATAAAAATCTGGAGTAATACTAATATTTAATGAAAAATTAAATAAATAAGCATTAGATCCAAACTCAAGAATAGCAAAGCAATTCTCATTAAGTTTTAACNTACTTATATTAACTCATAATAAAGGAAAGATTATAATAATGCCCTTAATTGAAATAACTTAATATCCTACACAAGGTAAAGAGAATATTCCAACAATTTGACGCCAACAAAGACGGTGGTTTGAACCGAGAAGAAATAGTCGCTTTGGTGGTCGCCATAAACCCTAGTGATGTAGATCGTAAGAACTCTAATAGTTAATGTAGATTAAGGAGAAGATAATAGGGATGAAAATAGAAGAATAAAAGGAGATGAGAAGTGAAGAGTAGAATTAAGGGGATGAGAAATAAAAAAATGAGAAGAAAGGGGATGAGAAGAGAACAAGAAGATCTAGTCAAACAGGCTTCAATAATATTCAATAATTCAAGTCTAAATAAAACCCTTGCATGCATCGCTTTATATAGGGAAACTAAAACCCTAAAATAAATAAATAATAACAAATAAACCCTCAAAAGTTAAAAGAAATTATTTAAAAGATAAACACTAAAAGTATGCAAATAACTCTCAAAATTAGTCTATAATCTTATCTAACTCCAACACGATCCCCATCATTTTTTCCCGATTGAGAAAAACTCTTCCCCAGAAAGTCTTCAAAGCAGAAGTACCCTAAAAGAGCAGCATAAAGATGACAGAACGTCTTATCTAAAATGAAAGGACCATCAACATCTTTCCATCGGCCTGGATAAACGCAAGAATCTTCATCTATAACAATATAAATTTGGTCACAGAGGACATCATTTATTTGTCCCGAAATACGCGATAGAAGTAGAAAAATAAGAACTAGAACTAGTGCTGAAAAAAAAGCAATTCCACCTGTAGAAACACCGGCTAACAAAATAGGAGGCTCTGGAATATCTCGATTAAGTAGCATGTTCTTCAAATAAAAATCTGGAGTAATACTAATATTTAATGAAAAATTAAATAAATAAGCATTAGATCCAAACTCAAGAATAGCAAAGCAATTCTCATTAAGTTTTAACAAAAAGTATTCAATGGGACAAGACATCGATGACAAAGGAGTAATAATAACGCCTTGGTGGTGAAAATAATTAAGTACCAACTCAAGTGAAATCTTAATAGTAGGAATAAAGTCAACTATTTCATAGGGAAAGACTTGGGAATAAAGTTAGATTGACTTAAAATAGGAGATACAAAACAATCATTAAAAGATTCTAAAATAGGTAACTCAATATACTCGACATCTTTCATAAGTGTGAACTCAACAAACTTTTCAGCAAGTTCCATTACAAGTGGTGACTCAACATTTGACTCCGGCAAAGGCTCAAATTCACTTTCTTCAAGTATTAACTTTTGTTGGTATGAAGGAGATGAGCTCTGATACCAATTGATGTAGATCGTAATAACTCTAATAGTTATTGTAGATTAAGGAGAAGTTAATAGGGATGAGAATAGAAGAATAAAAGGAGATAAGAAGTGAAGAGTAGAATTAAGGGGATGAGAAATAGAAGAATGAGAAGAAAGGGAATAAGAACGGAATAAGATCTAGCCAAACAGGAATAAGAAGATCAAGCCAAACAGGCTTCAATAATATTCAATAATTCAAGTCTAAATAAAACCCTTACATACATCCCTTTATATAGGAAAACTAAAACACTAAAATAAATAAATAATAACAAATAAACCCTCAAAAATTAAAAAAAAATTACTTAAAAGATAAATACTAAAGTATCCAAATAACTCTCAAAATTAATCTATAATATTTATCCAACTCCTACAGGATCCCCATCACCTAGAGTAAAGATCAGCGACGAGCAAATCAATGCAATTATCGACAAAGTCTTCTGAAATTATGGCGAATTTATCGACGGTAAGAAGGGTCTCACCTTTGACAGCCTTCTACGCACCTACGACAACGACGCTGGTGATGTGGACCACGACTTTGATGCCATTGGACTTAAGCTCATCAAAGATGATGACAATAACATCTCTGTGGCCTATAAAGAGGCATCATCATCGTCAATTATCGATGAAAGAGTAGTTGAACCCCACAAGAAGCAACGGACTGAGGCTTGGGCGACCCCGCCGAATCATTGGATTGTTTTTGATGATACGAACAAGTTGAAATCTAGCTCCTTTCAAATTCGGTGAATTCATTGAAATACCCTTTTGCCAAGGCATGTGATGCACACGTGACTCTTTGCAGCCCGAAGAATTGATGAAATTTAACGAAAAGGCTTAATTGAACAAATTTTGAAAAATGAAAGGGTAAATTGACACAAAAAATTGTTTAAGGCCTTATTTGACACCCTTGTAATAGTTTAAGGGGCAATAGTATTTTTTACCCAATAAGATACTTAATAGTCAAATTTTTAAGCTTGTTAATCACATTTAAACATATATTTATTATTTAATAGTAGACACGATTTAAAGAAGTGTCGGGTACGTGTCCAAAATTAAAATTTTATTATTTAATTATGGACACGAATAAAAAAGTATCGGACACGTGTCCGAGGAATGGTGGTGTCCAACACGGATATGTCACCTTCTTGAGAGTGTTAGTGCTTCATAGGTCGTTACTTTGGGTATATTTGATGGCATATATATTTGATTTTTCTCAAATTTACTGTAATTTTCATTCGATGATTCACATTTAGTTTTCTACTGATAGAAAAGTTCTTCGTTGTGATTTGTGTAGAGAATATTGGTTAAAAGACTTCATTTACTTCCTATGGACTTTGCTTAACCTGAACAACGGGATCCTATTCGCACTCACAATCCAACTGCAAGACTTAGTTTTGTTGATACTTCTCTTTCTTATCATGCTTTTTTTAGTTCTATTCATTCTTATTTTGAACCTCAGGCTTATAAAGAGACTTGTACTAATCCTAATTGAATTAATACAATGCATCATAAATTAACTGCTCTTGATAAGGCTGGTACTTGGGATTTAATTCCTTTACCTACAAGTAAAAATGTTGTTGGTTGCAAATGGGTTTACAAGGTTAAGATTCATTTTGATGGTTCCCTTGAGCGTTATAAAGCTCAATTAGTTGCTAAATAGTTTTTTCAAGAATATGGTGTTGATTATGAGAAAACTTTTGCTCCTGTTGCCAAAATGACTATTGTTCGTACTATGATTTCTGTTGCGGCAGTTCATCGATGACCTCTATTTCAACTTGATGTTAAAAATGCATTTTTGAATGGGTACCTCAATGAAGAGGTTTATATGCGCCCACCTCCCGGTCTTTCTCATCCTACTAGTTATGCTTGTCGGTTGCATCAACCTCTCTATGGTCTAAAGCAAACCCCAGAGTCTGGTATAAATGTTTTCAATCTATTGTTACTCAGATTAGTTTTGTTTCTAGTGCCCATGATCCTACTTTATTTGTTCGTCGTTCTAACCATGAATTAGTTCTTCTCTTATTATATGTGGACGATATGATTGTCACTAATCCCGATATTGTTGCTATTGATAAAGTGAAATGACATCTTTTACTTGAGTTTGAGATGAAGGATTTGGGCTTTATGTTATTTCTTGGGTACAGAGGTTGCTTTTTCTCCTAAAGGCAACTTTTTATCTCAGTCTAAGTATGTCAATGATTTTATTCACTTCATCAACTTAACCGATGATAAGGTCGTTTCTACTCCTCTCAAGTTAAATGTTAAATTCTCAAGTTCTAATGGTGTTCTTCTTGATAATCCTATATTGTACCGTGAACTGGTTGGTTATTTGATTTATCTTACTGTTACTCACCTAGATATTACATATGCAGTTCATATTGTTAGTCAATTTGTCTTTGCTCCTCGTACTACTCATTGGGCTGCCTTACTAGTTACTTCGTATTTTGTTGTATGCAAGCGGCACTATATTTTAGAGCTTATTATTTTCGTCAACCTCCTCTCTGACTTTATATGCCTATGTTGATACTGATTGGGTTGGGGATAGTACAGATTGCAAGTCTACCGCTGGTTTTTGTATTTTTCGAGGTGATTCACTTATTTCTTATAAAAATAAGCAATAATCAGTTATTGCTCGTTCTAGTGCTGAGGCTGCGTATCGTGTTATATGGTTATTTAATCTCTTCTCTTTCCACTCCTGGACATCCAAGAAGAGAAGGAAAACACCATGCCTATTCTATCCTAAAAAATATATAATAATCTCAAAAAGGTTAGGTTGGCGTAAAAAAGGATGATGTACAGAAAATTCTACAACAACTTGTAGCCAATGAAAATTCAAAAAAGACAAAAAGGGCACCAATGCACGTTAGAGATAAAAATACAACCATAAACAATAAATGGGCTCTTCTTCCAAACGAAGAATGAACACATTCATGTAAAAATTTGATACAAGTATACCTACATATATAGGTCTTATTAAGCCTTAAACATTCAGTCTCTTCTCTTTCCACTCCTGGGCATCCAAGCAGAGAGGGAAAAGTCAAATGTCTTTTATATCCTTTCTTGAAAATTACAAAAATAAATTCAGAAAGATTATTCAATCATGTACAAAAAAATGACAAATAGAAAATTATCCACCAAATTATAGCCAATGAAAATTTGAAAAAGAAAAAAAGAGTAACATTGTACAATGGAGAGTACATTCATGCAAATATTCCATACAAATATACACACACACACACAGAGATTGGCAACACCTTAGCACCAGTTTTAGCCGCAGTTTCAACTACTTCGAGGAGTTGACTGGATGGAATAGGCCCAGTAGATTCAGCACCAACTCTGGAGAACTGTCTTTCTGATAACACAGCCTTTGTGCACAATGTTCTTGTGGGTTTAATGCTGAAGGAGAGAGTCCTACAAAACCCATTTTGGAAACCTCTCAGAGGTTGAGAATTTGAACTGAATCCCTTTGGAATTGATTGCTTTGGGTGGTGTAATGATTGCATTAATCTGGGTATTTGACAAAATCTGGCGGAATCGCCAGTGGTTGAGACCAGACACCTTCCCATTTTCGAAGCAATTTTTTGAAAAAAAAATCTTAATATCAATGGACCCTGTTTTTGCTGGCTGTTTTGGAGGATTTTTAGGCTTTTATTTTGAATACTGAATTACACCCAAACCCTAGGTTAGCATATTTAATAAATTATATTTAGACTGTTTAAACACCTTAAGTTTAAAATATTATATATAGATAAAAAATATTTCAATCAAAAGATAAAATATTAAATATTTTAAATTTTAATTTATATTCTATTGTATCATTTATTAAAATAAAATTAAAAATAAAAAAACTAATTTTTTTTTAAAAAAATCTTAATTAGTATAAAATTATACTATCTATTAGAATAAAATTAAAAAAATTAAATAAGAGGTCTAAGATATAATATGAATTTTGGTTAAAAATTCATGTTCAATGTCATTTATTGCAATAAAATTAAAAATAAAAATTTAATTTTTCTTAAAAAATCATAATTAGTATATAATTATATTATCTGTTACAATAAAACTAAAAAATCAAACAAGAAATCAAATTGTAATTCACACAATATATTCTAGCTTTAATTTGGATAATTTAGTAGTTTAATTTTGTCGTTTAAGCGACCAAATTAAATTACAAGAGATAGTACAATTGTATATTAATTATAATTTTTTAAGAAAAAATTAAATTTTTTATTTTAATTTTATTTCAATAAATGTCATAATTCAACATGAATTTTGGTTATAAAGTTTAAAATATTTGATATTTTATTTTTTATTAGAATATTTTTTGTCTAAATATAACAGTTTAAACTTGAATAATCTAAGAATTACACATCTACAAACTTCAGCTGGTCTGAATATAATTTACTAACGGACATTGAAAACAAGGATCTAAGTGTTACGCATGTATAAATTTTAAGGGGTCTATATGTAATATTTTAAACATTAAAGGTCTGAATGTAATTCTTCCTTGTTCCGAAGAATGAAAAATTAGATGGATGGTAAATTTTGAAGAATAGACTTTTCATTTTTTAAAAAAAGACATACACTTTCTTTTTTTATATATTTGATATGATAGATGGAAAGTTTGAAGAATTAATTTTCTTTTATTTGGTGCTAGAGGAAAAGTGGAAGGAAATAAAAGATATATGTACTTAATTTATTATCGTACCCTTACATATAAAAATATATTTTTATTACAAATAGAATTTTAAAGCTTAAGTGTCATTTTAATTAGTTATAAAAATAAATAAATATAGATATGTATACCAAAAATAATAGCAGAAAAAATATTTGTAATAGAATATTACAAATATATTTAAGGGTAAAAAAAGTCAATTTATTCAAAAAATTAGCTTGTCTTTAATTTTTCAATCACTGTTGAGAGAGAAAAAAATGGTGGGCTAGAGGAAAACACTTTCCCTCCACGTTTTCTTTCCTTCCTATTTGTCCTCGAAATTAAACAATGAAAAGTCTTTTTTTCCATCTTATTTTTCTTCCCCCATTTTCCATCCACCCCAACTTTTCATCAAACTAAACACACTAGAAGGAATCAACTCCAAAGAAAAACTGACACATCCCAAAAATTGGTCTTTGTCTTTAATGATATAGAGATTGTCTTCAAAAAAACACGGGTAAACAATTTAGGATTGCACCAAGATTTTAAAATATTTTTATTAGTATTTTTCAAAACAAATCTTGTATGAAAAAACATTAGTTATCCAGCATAGTTTGGGCAAAAGTAAGAAAATTTGTTGAATTTAGTTTTGGGTGGGGCTATTTCCACACCCACAAATATTCATTCTAATCCCATTTAATTTTTTATTATCAAACTATTGATTTCACTCATTCTATACCCATCACTTTAGTAATTAAGCCCGCTCTATTTTATCCACACCCTTTTAATAAGTAAGTTCACTTTGTATTTTATCACAATTAGGATTTTATTTACTATATCATGATTCTCATCTCATACACCCACAAAAAAAAATTTCAATATAGATTTTTCTAGTGAGATACTTGTTAGTATTAGTACTTGATTTAATTCTATGTTTTATTGCATGTGCGCTACGTGGATTTTTATTCACTAATTGTCTTCTTTCATTTTTTTTTTTTTTTGTTGTTTTGTTTTTTGCAGTAGCTACTAGGTTGGTTCATTTGTTCTTGTTCTTGTTTTTTTCTTTTTTTGGTTTTGCTTGTTATTGTTTTTCTTGCCTTGGTTGTTTCTTGTTTCGTGTGTTTCTTGTTTTGCTTTTTTCTTCTTTAGTTTTTGCTTGTATCTTTTTTTTTTTTATTATTGTTTTGTTTGTTTCTCGTTTCATTTTTTTTTTGTAGTAGTCTTGCTTCATATATGTATATATATACATTCGAACTAATAGTTTTGTTTCCTTTCTTTTTTTTTCTTGCAATGACTTCTTCTTTTGTTTTCTTGAATTCGCCATTTCTTGAATTTTTTTCTTGTTTTCTGTTGAGCTTTGATAGATTTTGTGTGGGGGGATTATTTTGAGTGCTTGATATTTTTTCAGATTACATAATTCACCCTCAAATAGAAAATACATTTCTAACATTATACTGGAAAATCGTACCATTCATGCATGTTGCCTCTTATTGTATTACTATCAATTATCCGTGCTTGAATATACTATGTAAATTATAAAAAAATTGTAAACATTTGTCTATACACAAAGGCAATGTATAACACAAATTTTCAGCAAGCAGCAATATATATGAACCTTGTTCTAAAAAAAAAACAATATATATGAGCCCACTAATATTTTTAAAAATTTTTGAAAAAATATATTCTAAAAATATGACACTTGAACAATATCAATTTGTATACAGAGAATAATCAACTTTATTTAAAGAAAATCACACTACAGTCCTGAATCAACATTTACAAAAATATATCAAGTCTCGACATTTGTTGAATGTACACTATGTGAGACATAATGGGATAGCAGGGGAATTTTCACTACTTGGAGAATAGAAAATGAAGGATCAACAAACCATTAATTTTAAAGTAACTATATATATTTAGTAAGAAATTAAATTAACTGGACTGCTTTTCGGCATAATCACATGAAAGCAAATCACTATTGTCAATTTCAAGGGAAATAAACATTCCTTGTCATTGCTATTCTGGCTTCTCTTTTTCTTCCCTTTCTACCCAATTCTTCACTACTTGGAGGATGTCTTCCATTTAAACGATAATAACTATGTTGTTTGAAGTTAGATCGTCTGAAATAATGTTTTAGTAAATGTTCAGAAATCAAACCTTAAAAAAAAAAAAAAAGGTTCAGAAATCACAAAATACTATTTCTTGTGTGATATAAACCCAGACCCTAGCATTGTAACATTTAAAGTTGGACTAAAGCTCATCTTCCAATTTAACGATCCAGGATCTAGTGTGTGAGCTTCGATTGTGCTAGCCAAGCTTGAGTTAGAAAATGTTATCTGTCCAACTTTAACGAAAATANATTGTAACATTTAAAGTTGGACTAAAGCTCATCTTCCAATTTAACGATCCAGGATCTTGTGTGTGAGCTTCGATTGTGCTAGCCAAGCTTGAGTTAGAAAATGTTATCTGTCCAACTTTAACGAAAATTGGCATTAGCATTAGCAGTACCCCGTATATGTTAGAAGTGAGCATACAATTAAAGTTCACCCATTAAATGAAAATTCATATATGGTCATTGTGATATAGTTGTAACGACAAATTTTGTTAATAAAATTACACCAATGTAATGTCAAATTATAATTGTTGATGTGAATAGAAAAGTGATGTTGACTCTCTTCGGCGTGCTTCTCATATGTACCATCCTCCGATTCTCGGTAGATTTGGTGAAGATGAGTGTCGGTTTGACATGTTTTTCACCCTTCAATTTATTGGTTGTTTTGGTAGATTGAGTGAATACGAGAGTTAAATCAGTGTGTTTCTTGTTCTTTAATTTGGCGATGGCTTTGATGAATTTTCTCATCTTTTTTCATTTTGAATGGCTTGAAGATGATTGGGATATCTCGAAGAAGGACCTTGGTAGTATGCTCTTCTCCTCGGAGATGGACTTGCAAGGCTTCCACCTCCCTAGCTTCTTCTTCTTGGCGCTCCCATTGGCCTCTCCTAGACCCCTATTTATAGTATTGGGAGTAGTTATACGTATAAGATATTTTACCTGAATAGTGGGTCGCCTATATTTATTTAAATTTATGGGCTTTGGTTGATTTATGTTATTTGGGCTTTAGGTTCAACACAATTTAATTTGACAAGCCTAATTAATTAAATTTGAGCTTGTATTTTTGGGATGTGTAATTTAGGTTCAACTCAAGCCTATTTAATTAACTTTTAACTTGTATTATTTCGGCTTATGAAATTTAGGTCAAACCTAATTTAATTTATCTAATTAGTTTGAGCCCTATTATAGACATTGTTTTTTTAATTTTTTAATGTCTACAATTATATCCCAGTGATTAAGAAAATTTGTATATGGTTTTTGATCCCAAAAGCAGCATCAATAGATTGTTTTATGACTTGGCGATTTTCCAGTGAGCTCTTGCACGCAATTCGAAGACCGAAAGGGCTCCAAGGGTCGACCATTTGATAAATAAATTAGTAAAGGCGAAAGAAATTGACTAGAATTGAGCTGGGAGAAATTTCTTACATGGTTCTTAACTTTCCCCTTTCCTTTATAGGCTTTCAGTCTCCTTTACCATTGGAGCTCCCTTAGCTACTTTCAAATGAGGCATCCCAGAAAGTGGAACTCCCCTTCAACAGCTAGAGTTGGTTTGAGCTATTATCCTGGGATTGAGTAAGCGGATTGGTGATGTAGTTAGAATTTATCAAGTAGGATATATCTCACCAGATCGCACACCCCATGGCTCTTGTGCTTCCTCACATGCTTTAGGCGTGCATGTGTTTTTTCTTTAAAGCCAGATTCATATCCATCAATGGTCATTGTGATAAATAGTTGATATAGTAATCACTTTTAATGAAAATTTCAACACAAATTTTCATTTAGTGGAGGTGAAGAGTGTT